TTCAAAGTGTACATTTATCTCGAGTTATCATGAGAAGAAGGGGATGGGGAGAAAAGTTTTGAACAGTGTATAGAGTATGAGGCTTTTGCGTACGAGAGGATGAGAGGAAGATTCGAGAAAAACTCACCTATAATATAACGTCCTAGACCCCCGGTGGTACTCATTCCAGCGCTCACTGATCTCATTCCCAAATTCGCCGTCGGACCCATTTTGGAATCTCGCCTAGATACACTTGGGGAGACGGGAGAAGCGAGTGGTTCAAAGGAGCCCAAAGACGATTGAGAGAATGTATGCAACTTGCTGATTGTTTGGGATGGTCCGATGGGGTCGGAAAAACTGCGTGGACCTGGAGTTGGCGAGAGGGAGGGGGTTGAACGGGATAACTGCTTCGTCAGCGTTATTATTTCAAGACATACGATCTTTTGGAGAATCGGCATTCAATGACCACGTTTTCAGGGTTGAAAGATTAGTCGTGGTGAATGATGTGGCCCAAAAGACCACGGAAAGGGTCAGGTTGAGTGAAGTGAGATGCGGCTCAGAGAAGGGGATTAGTGGAGTAGGGCCTGACGGGGAAGGGATAAGGGTAGTCTTTCTGAACATGGGGGAAAGGCAACTCACAGGACTATACCCTAATGACCCAAACTTTCCTAAACCCAAACCCAGCCCCAATCCCCCATTCCCTCCCGTCCCCCCTCCTGGTCCGGACGGAGCAGCACCAGGTGGCAATAATCCTGTAGCAGAAGAAATACTATCAGAGCGTGAGACTATAGTACTCGTCCGACCCGAAGGAGAAGGGGGCGAGGGTGAGGTGGGCGATATAGGAAGGTAGAAAGAAGGTGGTGGTGGTGGCATCTTTGGAGTTTACGCCCTTATCTCTCGGTATCTCTAAATTGCTCGTTCCTCTTCACCGCTCGACACCGAGTTCTTATGGCAGTAGAATTTGTTGAGTAGTTGGCAGCGGTAGAATTCTGATGAGTCGGTCAATTCAGATCGTGGCAAGAAGAGAGATAGAGAGAGGAGGGTCATAGGATAATAAAACCTCATGAGATAGGGGATCGACTGTGCTTCGCGTACATACATGGGACAGTGTACAGTGGGGGTTTCGCAGTGTTCTGACGCGTTACGCCCAAAAGTCAGACAAATCGGACCAACGTTTGGTTTTCGGTGGGGGGTCAGGGATCAGGGAAGATCGGCGGTAGAATCAGCATCAGCTAGTTAGTACTTAGCAGTGAGATCGTGAAGGGTGACATGGTCGGAGTGGGCTATACAGACATTTCAGCGTTGTCCATGATGAAAGAGACGATGGAGCTGGGTTCGAGTGACGGACGGATGACGAGTGAACGATCAGTTTGGAATGGGAGAGAGGAGGTGGAGGCTAAGCGCTCGGGTGCGATTGTGGGGTGGGATATGAAACAGAATGGCGACGCGACCTTGTCAGACATCAGACATGGCGCGGTACTGTATTCGAATGAGATGAAGGGCATCTCGAAGTGAGCTCAAAACAGAGTTTGTCACCATGTCATTTCACAAACAGCATCATCACTTACAGTACCTTATCAGAGTTCGAAATGCCACGTGTGAGATCCACACCCAACAACCCAAAACATGGTCGTCTTTGTCTTGTGAAACACCCCACGCTAGCCACGCTCAAGCCCTCTCTATCCATATGTACATATGTGGATGTTGACGACGACCCTCGATTCCCCAACTAATCAATCCGATAATCCCGCTCGATCCCCCTCCGATCCTTACCCCTCGCTCGCCATCGCCCCAAACTACTCTACCTTACCCATTCCCCCACAGTTACCCTAACATGCCTACCATGCGTCATCTAACCTTTCAAAGGCTTCCTGCTTCTCATCCCTTCCTCCACTGCCCACCCATCATACCCGTACACCTTCTCTGTCGGCCTGTAGCTACAGTACCTTTCATCCAATCATGGTACAGCATGAGCCATTCCATGCCCATGCCCCATGGCACCCAATCCAGTTAGCTTTCCGCTCGGACCCTCGGCACTCGGGCCGCCGGCTTGATCGGATGGGTCCAAAGGTCCCACTAGCGTAACAGCCCAAAGTGGAGAGACTACGTTACGCACTGACCACTTTTGGTCGTTGACAAGACTTTGAGTATGAAACGTATCCTTTTCTTGTACAACTTTCCCCTCTTATCACCATAACAACTTGACATCCTAACATCCTAACAACCTCTTTCTCATATACACGAATATCTCTCTTACGCAACCCTCTCTATTCTCACTTTGGCCAGGTCGGGCTGTTCATTCATTTGTTGACACATTCATTCAACCTTGTACACTTTGTGACACCTTTATATACCATTACTTCTTTCCTTCTCTCTCATCACTTCA